TACTTTTGCTCCATATGCATGTGTCTGTAAACAATATATAGTAATGTCTGATGTATCCTTAAACTGTATATGAATTGTATTGTACCACATATACTTTCCTGCAACCTTTTTTTTTTTTAAGTAGGTTCCATGCCCAAAATGGGGCTCGAACTCATGACCCCAAAAAAGAGTCACAGACTCTACCCAGTGAGCCAGCCAGGTGCCCCTCCTACAACCTGTTTTTCCATAGTATTGTTTCTGAGATTTACCATGTTGATACATGCAGCTTTTACTCATTTTTATTTAAACATATTTGAAGTTTTTCAGGTATATGAAAAGAATATTACATGTGGACCCACCACTCATCTTCAGATTTAAAATACAACAGATACAGTTGAAGCCCCCCACCCCCCATGTACCCATTTCTGCTCACCCCTGCCTTCCTGGGAGTGACTGATCTGAACAGTGTGAATGTCTTCCCATGTCTGTGTCTTACACGTGCTGTATGCTTAATCAGTTTTATTTGGCATATTGTAGAGCTTTTTATAAGTGCTGTCACACTGTTTTTACTATTCTGCAACTTTTTTCATTGGTAAGATCTATTCAAGCAGATGCATTAGCACTAGTTCATTTGTTCTCATCCTTGTGTAGTAGTCCAGTCACTCTGAATCTTCCACAATTATCTATTTTCCTTTTGTCAGTTTCTTTTTCTTGCTCTTTTTTTCTTTTAAAGATTTTATTTATTTATTTGACAGAGAGAGACACAGCGAGAGAGGGAACACAAGCAGGGGGAGTGTGAGAGGGAGAGGAAGTGGGAGAGGCTTCCTGCCGAGCAGGGACACCGATGTGGGGCTCGATCCCAGGACCCTGGGATCATGACCTGAGCCGAAGGCAGCCGCTTAACGACTGAGCCACCCAGGCACCCCAACATTCCATTTGTTTAAATAATCTCAAAGGCCTGCCCAGGTTCAAGGGAAGAAGAAATAGATACCACCTCTTGATGGGTGTGGCAAGGTTCTGGAAGACTGAGCAGATATTGTTGCTGCCATTTTGAGGATATATAGTCTGTCCCCTGAACCTAGGTACGTCTGTGTGTAGTGGCTGGGACTTAGAATATGAACAGTCATCTTCATTAGATATTGCTAAATTGCTCTCTGAAATGGTTTTACCAGTTCATTTTCCCACCAGTAATGTATGAGAATTCTTATTTTCTAGATTATTTCCAATGCTTGCTATTGTCAGACCTCTTAATTTTTGCCAGTCTGTTTGATGTGAAATGGTTAATTAATATGTATTGCAGTTCTCTTCCCTTGTGGCTTGCATTTCACCTGGTGTTATCTTTTGTGGGGTACAAGTTTTGTATTTTATTTTTTTAAGATTCTATTTATTTATTTGAGAGAGAGAGCGAGAGCACAGGTAGAGGGGCAGAGGGAGAGGGAGAAGCAGGCTCCCTGCTGAGCAGGAAGCCAACGTGGGGCTCCATCCCAGAACCCTGAGATCATGACCTGAGTGGAAGGCAGATGCTTAACTGACTGAGCCACCCAAGTGCCCCCAAGTTTTGTATTTTGATGTCCAAAATACAGTCTTTTCATTTCTGGTTTGGGCCTCTTTTATGTCTTGTGTACAGAATCTTTTCCTACTCAAGGATCAGAAAATTACTATCCTGTATATTGCCTTCCAAAATTATACAGCCTTTCTTTATACATTTAGGCCTTTAATCTACCCCCAGATTGCCTCTTATGTGTGGTGTGAGATAGGGATTGAACGTGGTTGTTTTTTCAAACGATTAACCAAGTGTCACAGCACCATTTTTTTAAAAAGTTCATTTATTTAAGCAATCTCTGCACCCAGTGTGGGGCCTGAACTCACGACCCCAGCATTGAGAGCCGCACGCTCCACTGATTGAGCCAGCCAGGCGTCCCTGATGGCACCATTTTTTAATAGAGTATTTTTTCCCTACTGACTTCTAATGCCGCTTCTGTTGTATATTATGTTGCTTTCCTGGATGAGTCCGTTTTGGGCTTCCCTAGTTTGTTTCACTGGTTTATTTGTCCCTGAAAGGAAACTACATCATCTTAATAGCATTTTATAAGGAGCTTTGATTTTTGGTGTACTGCTTCCTTAACTTCTTTTTTATCTTTTAAAAATTATTTTTGCCATTTTATTTCATGTAAATATTACTGTCGGCTTATCACATTTTATAAAAAAAAAAAAACAACTGCGTTTGGAGCAGTTGGCTGACTCAGTTGGTGGAGCATGTGATCCTTGATCTCAGGGTTTTGAGTTTCACCCACCTGGGTGAAAAGATTACTTCAAAAAAAACAAAGCAGGGGTGCCTCGTCGCAAGCTCTTCCAACTGAGCCAGCCAGGTGCCCCTATTTCTTGAATTTTTAACATTATCCATAATTATCATGGATGAAGATTTAGGTCCTTCACATGTCATTTGGCTAAGAGTATAGAATTCTAGGGTGTATTTTCTTCCCATCAGATTCTTAAAGATTTTGTCCCATTGTTTTATGTTGCCATGAGAATATACCTGATGACTGAGTCTCTTCCTTTCTCCCCCTGCCCCAATCCTGTGTCTTTTGTGTTTTCTCCTTTCCCCCCATCTCTCTTATTTTGAAAGCTTTAAGCCTACAGAAAAATGGTACAGGTGGTATGACGAAAACCTCTGTATATTCCTTGTCTAGTTCACCAACTGTGAATATTTTACCACATTTGCTTTATGTCTTCACAACATTATAGATTTTTTTCCTTTCGCCAAACAATTTGGGAGTGAATTACAGACACTTGAGATTTCACTCCTAAATACTTCAACAGGTGCTCCTCAGAACAAGGACATTCTCCTACGAAATCTCAACACGGTTCTCACACTCGGGGAATTTAATATTGATGCAATACTAGCATCTAATATACAGTCTGTGTTCAGATTTCCCCAGTTGTCTAAATAATGTCCGTCATAGGTGTTTTGGTTTTTGCTTTTTAATTCACACTCCAATCAAGGACCACACATTACGTTTAGTAAGTGCATTTCTCATTCCTTATAAATGAGTTCAAAGCTCCTTCTGAAAGTTTTAGCATCTTATCCTTGGTACCCTTAAATTCCATAATATTATATGTCTTGATACAAGTCTTTTTTCACTCACTGTTGGAGGCACAGATTCTTCCAATCTGGAAATTAATGTCCTTTGGTTCTATAGACTTGCTAATGTTATTTCTCTGTTGATTTCCTTCCTTCCTTCTCTGTTCTCTTTCTCTGGAACTTTTGCCAGTAGATGTTGTATTGCATGGGTTGATTTTCTAAGACTTTTGTGTGCTTTAGTTTCCATCATGGCCTCTCTGTTCTTTATCTCCTTGTCTTAGTATTACATTTATTTTTGCTCTCATTTCTAGCTTCTAAGAGCTGTTTCTCGTTCTTCAGTTGCTAGTTTTCCATTGCTTTCTGGTCTTGTTTTATGAATATAACCCTGATTTCTCTGAGGATATTACTAGCTTTTTAAATGCTTTCTTTAGTTTTGATTTATTATTTTTTCTGAGTTAACCTTTCATTTTGAAGTCAGCTTCATATTGGATGTTTTTGCTTTTTTTTTTAAAAAAAAGTGTTGGTTCTTTTACTGTAGACTCACATTTAAGGGGGAGGCGGTCAAAGGCCATTTGGAGACTCTGTGCACAGATGGGGCCTATTTCCTACTAGCCTAGTAGCCTGTCCGTATAAGCAGTCATAGAGTGACGGACCAGCCGTTTGGTTAGGGAACCTCCAGATGTGAGTATGTAGAAGTCTATTTTCTGGGATTGTTTGGTTTACCCGAAGAAGAGTCCCCCAGTCTCTTGTCATGCTCTGGTGGCAGTGAGGGATGGGGAGCCAAGGTGGTTTTTTTTGTTTGTTTTAAACTTTTCCTTAATCATCATCTCCTTATCCCTTTGCTTCTTCCACTTGTTAGACTTGGGTTTCCGGAGTGGCATTCGTCTCTCACTCACATTTCCGGTGTCCTGTCGCCTGGCTGGGCGGGCCACTGCTGTCCTAGGCGCTAGCCACTCAACTTAAGGACTTTTAACCAGCTCCCTTTGGCCAGCCTGTGCTTCCACCCTGCCTGCTACTGAACCTGAGAGTCAAGTGCTGAGCCTCTCCGGGTTCTGAAGATACCAGCCGGCTCGCCGTTAGCATCCCGTTTACAGGCACCGAAGCTTACAGCTCCTCTGCCTTGTTGCATCTTCATTGAGATCGCTCCTTTGTTGCACTCAACTCTTGGTTTCTCTGTAACTGCCTCATTGTTACTTTAGTGGGGTCTTGGGATAAAAAGAAAATTCTTTGACCCTGTCTTCTTTAATAAGTCTCACACGTATGTATTTTTAAGGAAATTACCTAAGTATATTAGACTTGGGATGTTGCCTTTCCTCTGTGGAATTTATAAAAAAGAAGTATACAATTCGAAAAAATGCAAATTTTAATCTTTCAAAATACTGCTTACTTAAAGGGTCTTGACCGATGGTATGTAATTTTTGTTTTTATTTTGAAAAAATTCAAACTTAGGGAAAACTTGTAAGCGTGGTCCTGTTCCTTTTACCTAGGATCAGAGTTGTTAGCATTTTGCCATATTTGCTTCATCACCTCCTGTATAGATATGTTCGTTCACATACGCATTTTTTTTTCTTGAACCATTTGAGAGTAAGTTGTGAACATTATGCCCCTTTAGCCCTACATTTTGGTATGTATTTCCTAAGAACAAGGGCCTTCACAATTTAGCAACAAATTGCTAAACAAATGCAACAAATTGCTTGTGCAATTCACATCTAAATTACTATTTTATGGCACTTTTTTTTCCAGTTCAGGATCCAACCCAGAATCATGCCTTATATTCACTGCTCTTACGCCTCTAGTCACCTTCAATCTGGAACAGAGTGTTAACCTTTCTGTTTCAAGACCTTAGCATATTTGAAGAGTATGGACAGCTATTTTATAGACGATCTCTGAGTTGATATTATAATGTTTAATTTTGTGGTACATTTGTTTTTCCCTGTAGCTCTTAGGAGAATATGAGTCCCTTGGAAAAGAACACGAAAGAGTAAAGGTAATGGTTGATCACTCATGTTCTGAGCTTTGCGGAGGGGCAGAAGCACCGGGTTGGAAATGAAGGGGGCTGACCCCTCCGTTGTTCCCATCCTCCATCCCCATTTAGCTGCTTGAGTGAGACCAGTCGCTTCATCTTCTCTATCAGTATCCCTGTTTTCAAATATTTGCCCACTTAAGTCATAAATTTTCAGATCTGTGTTAACAAATATTGAATGGCCATTGCATTTGAGATGAGTTGAGATGAAACTTTTAGAAGAGTATAAGGTATGATATACATGTAAATAATTATTTAATAATATTTAAATACAAAGCTTTTTAAAGCATTTGCTTTTTGTGGTGGTGAATTTATTGATTTTGTTTGATTTCTTAATGGAAGCTTTGGGAACTACATATTTGAATTCAGTGAAACCCCACAGTGATGCTGTAAGTGGGGTCCAAAGTATTCCTGTTGCATAGGATACAGGGTTGTGGTCATTCAGGGTTAGAGGAAGGCAGGGAGGTGTTCTGGGGGCTCGGGAGCCGGTCACGACATCTGAAATCTCACCAGCACAGGTATCTGTTTTGCCATTTACTGAGGTTTTTGGGCAAGCTGTGGCTAAAACATGTCCATTTTAACACTGGATTACTTGTAATCATAATCAAGCAAAGCTTAATAAGCTATACCTGTTATTACAGGGGATGTATGTACGGCTCTTTGTATAAACCAGTGTTTTGTTCTCTCCCGTTTTTCCCTTGAATTATACACTGGCTCATGGTTGATGCTATATTTGCTGAGTATCTGCATAATTCTTTTTGTAGCTCTCTGGTGTAGTCTTAGATTGGTTTCATATTATGTATTTTAAAGTAAAATGAATATATCCTGAATATTTCAGTTATCGAATTTTTCCTTTATCTTCATAGGATATATTAAATACAACTGAGAACAAATTGCTTGATGCACATACTCAGATTTCTGATTTGAAAAGGTAAAATGTATTCTCTTACTAATAAGATAATGATGCCTCTATTGTTCTTTTAGCATTTAAATATGTGTCTGTACTGAAAGCAATGAAAAGAAAGTTTTTCTTGAGGACTTTTAGGCACTTTGAGATCAGGTTTTATCCTAATCTTCCCCTGACCTGGAAATACATTTGATTTTAACCGAAGAAGATTTTTTTTTTTTTAAAGATTTTATTTTTTTATTTGACAGAGCCACACTGAGAGAGGGAACACAAGCAGGGGGGAGTGGGAGAGGGAGAAGCAGGCTTCCCGCTGAGCAGGGAGCCCCATGCGGGGCTCAATCCCAGGACCCTGGGATCATGACCCAAGCTGAAGGCAGACACTGAACGACTGAGCTACCCGGGTGCCCCGTAGCCGAAGAAGATTTTTAAACAATTAGAGTATATTGGTGGTTGTGTTTGAGGAGTGTGCATTTCCTGAGACATTATGTGTTTCATTATGCAAATGATTAGATATTTCTAATTGGCTTTGGAGCATGTTTTTGTATTTGCATTTGGAGATGTGTCCCTTATTTGGAGATTTTACTGCACTCCTCATGACTTCCATCGGAGAGAACATGAACGCTGTCCGGCCTTCTCATCTGCTCAGGTCTTTTCTGTGATGCATTCAGTTCTGCTGATAGCTTCCTTATCAGATTGGCATAAAGTGTCAGCCCGTTAGAGCTATTCTTTCTCAAACCTTCCTTGCATCAGGGTAGGCAAGAATTTGAGCTTAAAAGATGAGACAAAGACATATGCGCAGTTTAAAAGAACAGAAAGAATGCCAAGATAACCTCAAAGCAATTAATTGGCCAGAGTCCTATTTTCTGTTCGTTAACTTGAAAATAGGCTTTTATTCTGAACATGGCACAGATGAGGTGAGTTGTCTATAGATAGAGAGTGTTCAAGATAGTTTAGCCTCTGTGTCTTTTAAAAAAATTAGGAAGTTCTTACTAGCTCTTTTATTGGATATTAAACCTTCCTTTTTTGTGAAAACATTACCTATGTATATTTTGTATGCGTGAATATGTATGTTTAGAATTAAATATGTTAGAATTGTAATTTATCTGAATCCTTGAATTTATTTTGTTTTTTAATTTCATTTATACCGTGTTTTGATTTGTAGTCAAATGTATAAATTTTTTTAATTTGTCTACATAAAGTCCATTTGTTGTTTCCTTGTCCTTCAATTGTAGTATATGGTGTGTTTCTTTGTAGAGTTTAATGTACTTGCCTTTCAGTTTATGTTCCAATTTTGCTCAGCTTTTATGCTTACTGGTGGCATTTTATTATGAAAAAGGTTTACAGACCAGCGGTTCTTCTGTCACCCCTTTTCTAGAAGCATCTGTTAAATAAATAAGTAATTTGTAGTTGAGCTATATTTTAAATTGTGTACTTAATTTCTCTTTTTACTTTTGAATTAGAACAATTTCAAAACTTGAAGCTCAGGTCAAGCAAGTAGAGCATGAAAATATGTTAAGTCTTCGCCATAGTTCTAAAACTCCCATGAGATCCTCACGTGCCAAGTAAGTTATTTTGTTTAATCTCTGTAAAGCTAGAAATAAGTGCACCCTTTTATTAAACTGAGAAGCTCCTCTGTCTAAGTCATAAGGAAGTCAGAGTTAAATCTCATTATAGAATGTAGATGTGTAAAAGCATCTAATTATGGGGCGCTTGGTGGGGCTCAGAGCATTCGACTCTTGATCTTGGGGTGGTGAGTTGGAGCCCCACGTTGGGTGCAGAGCTTACTTAAAAAACAGAAAAGTAAAACCATCTAATTATTAGATATCATAAAACCTCTCATGTGGGGGCATTTGCCAAAAGGACGAAATAGAATCAGATTGGGTGTAAAGAGACTTGGAATGTTTTGTTTGTTGACTGTGCCCAGCTGTGTGACCTTAGGCAAATCGCTTAATTTTTTTTGGAGCTCAATTATCTCTAAAAACAAGGACATTGAGCTAGAACATCTCAAAAGATCTTTTAGCCCTAAAATTCCAGAAATTTTATTCCTGTGCTAATGGGCAGACCTATGAAGATCTTCATAGGTCGTATGAATTTTTCTTTTTAGTTTTTTATTCAAAATTAGCTCTGCTATAATCTCAGAGCATTATCTTGATACATTTATAGAGTAGTTTTTTTCATATTAGATTGGGTTTTAGTATGATTTTGTAAAGAATAAATGAGTAGATCATAAGGTCATAGTATTGATGTGTATGAGAAAGATTGTTAAATTGTAAACTTTAACCTTTCTGGTCATTGTCAAATGAGAAACTTCCTCTAGATCCTTGTTCATTGACCTTAAGTTAGAACATAGTGAATTATTTAAAGAAAAAATTTTGTAAATTCCTGAAATTGAACATTTGAGAGACAACAAGAGTGGGGTGAGATTGGGGTCAGGGAAGGCCTTTCTGTGGAGGTGACTTACGTGGGCAGGGAGGTAAGCCTTGTGCTGAGTTGTTGGTGTGGGAGGCATGAGGGAGGGGCCTGTTCCAGGCAGAGAAATGAGCTTTACTACGTCCATAGGTAGGAAAGAGCTTAACATGTTTTAAAGAACCTGGAGGAAGCTTGTGTGACCTGAATATTGCCAGCAAGGGGTGAATGAGCGCCGGATGAAATCATAGACTGTCATACATCGCTTTCTAAGCGATGGTCAAGAGTTTGGATTTTACTCTTCAGTCTGTTGGGAAGCCTTTGAAAGGTTTTATGTGGTAAAATTAGGTCGTCTGATTTTTTTTTCTTTTTTTTTGAGAAAGAACCCGAGCGAACAGGGTGGGAGGGACAGAGGGAGAGTGGGAGGAGAATCTTAAGCAGGCTCCAGGCGCAGCGCAGAGCCCAGTGCGGGCGTAACTTCAGGACCCTGGGGTCATGACCTGAGCTGAAATCAAGAGTCGGACGCTTAACTGACTGAGCCACCCAGGTGCCGCTGATTTCTATATTTTTAATGCACCTGCCAGGAGAAGATGGCGAGGAAACGTAGCAGCAGACACACTGATTAGGCGATTGTGGTGTTAGGAGAAACGGTGTTCACTGAGTGCTGGCCATAGAAATGGACAGAAGAGGAGGGTCTGCAAGAGATTCTGGATATAGAATCCACATAGAAATGGACAGAAGAGGAGGGTCTGCAAGAGATTCTGGATATAGAATCCACCGAACGTGGTTAAGAATGAGATGACAAGATTAAAAGGGAGGTGTCTGATAATTCCTTGGTTTCTGTCTTGAGCAACTCCGGGCGCCATATATTGAACTAGGGAAGAAATGGGAAGGGCTGACCGTGGTATCGATAAGGGATCAGAATTTCCATTTCGAGTATTTTAGTTTGAGATTCATACGAATTCCAAGTGGGAATCAAGCAGGTGATTATAAATTTACATTTGGAATTCAGAAATAGGGTCTTAGGCTAGAGTTACAAATTTTAGAATTATTCTGTAGTGCTTGACTCTGGGATAGATGATGGGTGTGTGGTGGGAGGTTGGTGTAGGATGAAGCTCTGAGGAGCCCCGATGTCTTGATGTTGGGGCCAGAAGGAGTTGGCACAAGAACCTGAGAAAGAGCTGCCAGGGCACTCGGAGGAACCCTGAAGTGGCCAGTGGTGTAGACACTGCCGAGAGAGCACCTGAGGGGACTGGTGACCCCTAGGTGCGCCAGCCAGGCCTTGATGGCCTGGAGAGTGGTTTGCGTGGAGGGACAGATGTGCACATCCGTTGGGAAGGTTGTGTAGAGTGAGTGAAAGTGGCCTATATGTCTAGCGGCTGGAACATTAATATATTGTGATATATTTATGTATGGTGCTATGTGGTGTGACGGTGCATACATTAGATCAGGAATTGGCAAGCACAGCCCCAGCCCAAGTCCAGGCTGCTGCCCGTGTTTGTAGGGCCGTGAGCAAAGAGTGGTTTTTACATTGTTAAATGCTTGGAAAGGGGCGCCTGGGTGGCTCAGTCGTCAAGCATCTGCCTTTAGTTCGGGTCACGATCCCAGTGTCCTGGGATCGAGCCCTGCATCGGGCTCCCTGCTCTGTGGGAGGCCTGCTTCTCCCTCTCCCACTCCTCCTGCTTGTGTTCCAGCTCTCCCTATCGCTCTCTCTATCAAATAAATAAATAAAATCTTTTAAAAAAAAGTTTGGAAAAAAATCAGAATAGTATTTTGTACATGTAAAAATTATATGAAATTAAAATTTCATTTTCCGTAAATAAAATCTATTTATTCACCTATTGTCTGGCTGCTTTGCATTACAGTGGCAGATTTGAGTACTTGCAACAGAGATCATCTGGCCCATAAAACCTATTAAAATAAAATAAAACAAAAAGCCTATTTATTATCTCTTTGTAGGAAAAATTTGTCAGCCACTTAAGTTGATCATTAACATGATTTACTCTTTTTTTTTTTTTAAGATTTATTTACTTCGAGAGCATGAGTGGGAGAGGCAGAGGGAGAATCTCAAGCAGACTCCACACTGAGTGCGGAGCCTAATGTGGGGCTTGATCTCACAACCTGAGCTGAAGCCAAGAGTTGGACGCTTAACTGACTGCACCACCCAGGCACCCCTAACATGGTTTAATCTTAAGAACATAATTTGGAACAACAAAATACCAGTTGCAGAAGAAGGATAGTATTTATACTGACTTTAGCATTTAGAACATATCTTACAGAGTCATACAGAAGTAGTAAAAGTATAACAATGTGTATGGAATGCTGAATACAAATTTAGTGAAAGTGGTAGCTGACCACTTACACTAGGGTTATGACATTGGAGGAATGATATTGGTGTGAGGTACACAGGGGACTTGGCTTGTATCTGTAGTGTTCCACTGTTTAGCGGAAATAGAGCATAGAAGGTTCATAAGCAGATGGTACAGGAGTATAATCTGTATGTCTGTGCATGTTTGAAATATTTTATATTTTAAGTGAACAGGAACCAATAAGGGATCAGTATCCAGGATATAAAGAACTATAAATCAATAAGAAAAATTCTCAATAGGGCGCCTGGGTGGCTCAGTTGGTTAAGCAACTGCCTTCGGCTCAGGTCGTGATCCTGGAGTCCTGGAATCAAGTCCTGCATCGGGCTCCCTGCTCAGCAGGGAGTCTCCTCCTCCCTCTGACCCTCCCCCCTTCATGCTCTCTCTCAAATAAATAAAATCTTTAAAAAAAAAAATTCTCAATAGAAAAATGATAAAGGAATATGAACAAATGATTCACAGAAAAAGAAACCTCTAAATGGCTGATAAAATTGAAAAGATGTTCATTTTACTAGTAATCAGAAAAATGCAAATTAAAACAAGCATGGGATACCATTCACACCATCAGACAGGCCAGGCCACACTCCAGCTCTGATCATTGTAAAATTTGGCAAAGATGTGAAGAAATAGGAACCTTCAAACTGCTGGTTGGACTGAAAATCGATAAGCTTGCCTGGAGCGTGATTTGGCAATATCCAGTAAGACTGAAGATGTGTGCACCCCAAATTCCACAGTTCTGTTTTTGGATATTTACCTCAGAGGAATTCTTACACATGTTAATTGTAGTGTTGTTGAAAGGTGATGCAGAGAAACTAAAACACCAGCAGGAGAAAGGATAAATAAGGTGTGGCATATTTGTACTGTGGGTAAATAATTAAAATGATGTCCCTGTCTGCGTTAACATGGAGAAATCTGAAACACGTTGAGTAGAAACAGCAGCATTAAAAGGACGTGTGCATTATGTGGACCTAATTTAAAAAATACAAATGACCTTATATGCAGAATCTTCTGTCTTACCGATGAAAACAAGTATGGTAAGATGTTAGCATTTGTTAAAACTAAGTACAAGTGAGTGCTTGCAATAGTTTTTGTAATTTTCCAAGAATGTTTGGGGAATGTTTCTTAATTTAAAAATCGAGGGGAAAAAGGAAGGGAGCGACTGGGAGTTGACATGAAAATGTGGGAAGTTGTAAGAAGTGGCTGTGGAAGGGAGCAGAGAGAGGAAGACACCTCTTGTCTCCTCGTTTCTTTTTTCCCCTCCCAAGTGTGATGCGGGGTTATCAGCTGACCGGTAGGGCTGGGTGAGGTTTAAGGAGAGTGGAGAAAGGTGTAAGGGAGTCCTGTTGGAGAACTGGAGCTTGTTGATTACAGAAATGTATGTTGTCAGCCAGTGTTGGGTGTCCATTGAGATGGTGATGGTGACTCTCTGGTGCTAGCCCAGCCTGCACAGTTGGGTGGCTTGCTTCCAGCAAAGCCCAGATATAGGACTGTAGACACTCTGTAGACACTCGGGAGTGAGACCACCGTGTTCCTCAGGCTTAGGTCTCTGCTGTCAGTCGGGGGTGATGGAAGGTGAGTGCGGAAGGGGGGTCAAGGCAGTGAGTAACTGTGCACCCCAGAGTAGGTAGAGGGGAGCTGAAAAAGCTAGGGGAGGGGTTGATAAGTAGAAAATGGTGAGGCCAGGGATCACAGGCCTCGGGGTCACAGTACCTTGGTGATACTTGAGCACCTTAGCCAGAAGAATCTTGAGTTGTGACTTCTTATTTATTTATTTATTTAAGAGAGAGAGAGTGAGCACAAGAGGGGGTAGGGTCAGAGGGAGAAGCAGACTCCCAGCCGAGCAGGGAACCTGATGCGGGACTTGATCCCGGAACTCCGGGATTATGGCCTGAGCCGAAGGCAGTCGCCCAACCAACTGAGCCACCCAGGCTCCCCTGGAGTTGTGACTTCTTAAGGGGATGTGTTCTCTAGTGATGATGAAGTCCAGTGAGTATTCTCCAATGCGGGGGGGCGGGTGAGCGAGCAGGAGTCGAGTCCAGTCATTGGAGAGAGGTCCAGGACAGCTCCTCCCTGTGGACACTGAAGTAGGAGGGCAGGAGCAGGTGTGGAGAAGGTGAGAACAGTTCTGAAGTCTAGCAAAGGGCCGGTTAATGCATGATGTGTGAGCCTGAGTTGGGCAGGGTGTCCATAAGATGCGGGAAGGACTGGCCTTCAGCTGCACTACTCAATACACTAGTCACTGTGTGTGGCTATTTCATTTAAGTTAATTAAAATTAAATAACATGTAAAGATTGCTTCTTCATCTCACTAGCCACAATTCAACAGCATGTGACTAGTGGCTATTGTATTGGGCTGTACAGATGGAGGATGTTTCTGTTCTCACAGAAAGTTCTCCTGGGCAGTGCTGGTCTGGGAGGAATGAGAAGGGCACTCTCGCTGCACCTCCTTGGCCTGAGCTATGGGTTGGGTGTGAAGCATAGGAAGTGTGGTAGGAAGTTAGTTGGGGGTGTTCAGAGCTGTGTAGACAGGAGAATACCTTGACTGAGATGCAGAAATAGCCCAAAGTAACAGAAACCTAGAATAACAGTTCGGTTGGATCTGAAAACCATAAAACAGAATTCCTGTATCTAAAATAAGGTTGTTTTATGCAGTTTTAGAATTACTGTACAAATGTGTATGTACCATTTCAAAGCAGGTTGTTTGGGGCGCCTGGGCGGCTCAGTCGGTTAGGCGGCTGCCTTCGGCTCAGGTCATGATCCCATGGTCCTGGGATTGAGCCCCGCATTGGGCTCCCTGCTCCACCACGGGGAGCCTCCTTCTCCCTCTCCCACTGCTTGCTGCTCCCCCTGCTTGTGCTCTCTCTCTCTCTGTCAAATAAATAAATAAAATCTTAAAACAAAAAAACCACAAAGCAGGTTGTTTTCGGTATGTGTTCAGTGTGAACTGAAGCACGAGCCTGTCATGCCTCAGATCGTTTCTCCCTGTCCTAGCACACTGGCCACCTCCGACGTCAGCAGGCGCAAGTGGCTGATACCAGGAGCGGAGTATTCCATCTTTACTGGCCAGCCTTTGGACACCCAGGATAATAGAGTGGATAACCAGCTAGTGGAAACCTGTGCTCCCGGGTAAGGTAGCTTTGTCAAAGGTCATATTTAGGGTCGATTATGGTTTCAGTAGATTTCAGTTGCCCTTAAATGTTCAGGAAGGCATAAAGAAGAGCCTTCTCTTTGTGGCTTCAATGTCTTACTTTTGAGGACCAGATTTTTATTTTACATTGAAAAGCTAATGAGTTTAGGATACTCAAGATCCACGGCCATGCAGAGCATCCCCCACCCTGTGCTCTTGACAGTGGTGTGCTGTGCACAGACTCTCCGTTAGGCTAAGGTGTTGATCCTCTCACCTTCTGGACAGCCCATGCAACCATGTTACTTTAGAGCACCACATAAATATAATACTTCTATACGTGCGAGGATGTGAGGAAGATTGGGAAGTGCTGGTCTATTACATGCAGGTTCAATTTTAGTTTATTTACATTGTAAAGTGTATATATTCATTGTGGAGTGTAATTGTTAACTCTCATGTCATTCCCCTAACAGTGCCAGTGACCTCTGTCTTAGCTCAGTCTGCTCTTTTAAAGCACCGTAGACCGGGCACCTTAAACAAGAAACACTTTTTCCTGCTGTTCTGGAGTCTGAGAGTCTGAGACTGGGGTGCCAGCACAGTTGGGTTCTTGGTGAGGGCCCTCTTCCTGGTTATAGGGTCTTTGCTTGGTGAATGTGTGCAGACAGAGAGATCTTGTGTCTCTTCTTTTTAGAAGGGCACTAATCCCATCACAGGGTCCCGCCCTCATGAGCTCATCTAAATCTAATAACCTCCCCAGGGCTTCACCTCCTAACACTATCCACTTAGGATTGGGGCTCCAACATACAAGTGTTTTGGGGGGACACAAATATTCAGTCCATAACACTGCATGTCTTAAAATTCTTATTTAAGGTACCATTCTCCTCCGGAAAAGGATTCTTCATCTGAAAGTTCACCAAGAAGCTTATTGATAAAAAAACAAAGAGAGACTTCAGATACACCAATCATGAAAGCTTTAAAAGAACTCGATGAAGGAAAAATATTTAAAAATTGGGGCACACAGACAGAGAAAGAGGATACCTCAAATAGTAAGCATTTTTCCCTTGTTTGATATAGATAGATTATACTTTCCCCTTCATCCCCAATTATATCACCTTCCTTAAATCCCCTGGCTCATAATTTATCACAGTCATGGCATAACTTGCACGTTTTATACAAAGCAGACCACATGTTACGTTCTGATTAGTAAAGATTTATGCAGCATTCTTAAAGATATTTGGAATATAGCTACATCAGTTTGTCCTTGGAAAGTTACAATAGACACTTGGTATTCATAAAGTGAGATGTAACGTTTTCTACTCTCCCTTTCTTGGTTACTGAGCATCTCTCAGTAGGATAAGAAGTATCTTTTTTTTTTTTTTTAAGATTTTTGTATTTTTTATTTTTAAGTAATCTCTACACCCAACGTGGGGCTTGAACTCACAACCCCGAGATCAAGAGTCACATGCTCTTCCAACTGAGCCAGCCGGGTGCCCCAAGAAGTATCTTGAATACCATTTTTCTCACAAGCACAGGTCAACAGTACTTGCATCTCCTTGTATTCACTCCAGTGCTCACTTGATCGGGCCTGCTGATTACATTGTTCACATCTTGGGCATTGCATCTCCAAAGCAGTATCTCCTAGTAAATAAATTAGTGACTTGCTTTCTAAAAATAATCTCTCTTGAAAAATCACCTTGAATGGCAATTGTAAACAGGAAGCCAGAATGAATTCGTTATAAACTCCCACATTTTTCTTCATCAAGCATTTTTTAATCCTTATAATGTGTATTTCCAAATAAATCATTCTAACCTGGATAGTGAGAATTGCTTGCTTGGCATAATCATCTGTTAATAAAGGCAGGTAACCAGAGCTAGGTTTGTTTTGTTTACTTTTTAACCATTTGTCTGTTACAGAATTATCGAATCCTCAGCAAACTGAAATGTCAGTCAGTGCAAGTCGGTCCCCAGAGAAATGTGCCCAACAAAGACAGAGGAGGTTTAATTCTGCTTCACAGAGATCCTCATCGTTACCACCTTCAAATCGTAAATCAAGTACTCCAAGTAAGAGTTAGTTGTGTATGTCTCCTGGGCTCAAAAGAGTGGTATCCGAGCTGTCACAACACATGCCTGATGTTTTCTGTTTCCCTTATGTTCTCTAGCACCTACTAGAGTACTCTGAGCACAGGGTTCCTAAATAAGATCTTGTTCAATAATATCACCTGACTGCACAGATAACTATGACTATAGGTGAAGAAATTTTATCTCAGTATATTCAAATGAGATTTTTGTGTGTGTTCAGCAAATTTCTTTTTGCAACTCATACCATTTCACAGTTTTTGAGAGCATTGACAACTATCTAATTAAACATTAGTTCAAACAAATTAATTTAAGCTAGCCTGGAAAAAATATACTTCTTTTCATATAGTTACCTCTGGTTTCTTTAGTCAATTACAGTTATGGTTTTAAAGGTTAAGCATTGGATTTCTGTTTTCTCGATTTCCATTTTCAGAACTGCTGAAGATATTTGTGTGTCCCCGTGTAACAGGAATGTGTGCTGGTGTTCGTGTGTCCCTGTGTGACAGGAATGTGCGCTGGTGTTTCCATTTATTTCCACTTGACTTCTAAAATCCTGAAAAACCAGTTTTGAGTCTGAGTGCTGACACTGCAGTCTGATACACTAAAATGTTGACAGTGGTTCCCTCTAGGTGTTAGGATTATGAATTTTTATTTTGTATGCTCTTTCAAAAAGTTTTATAATAAAATTGTATTCCATTAAAGTTAGAAAAAAGTACTGAAAAAGAATGTTCTGCCAATATATGTATTATATTGAAGGAAGAGAATATTTCCTCTTCATTTTCTTCTGTAGCAAAAAGAGAGATTATGTTAACACCAGTGACTGTGGCTTATAGTCCAAAGCGATCCCCTAAAGAAAATTTGTCCCCAGGATTTAGTCATCTACTGAGCAAAAATGAAAGCAGTCCAACTCGGTAAGTTCTCTAAAATAGTAGAGTAAAATATTTTATTACTGACTTTTTTTTTTTAAGTGTCAACTTTATGCCTGTAGCTATCACTAATTTTTCAGTTGCCAGTGGGAACCCTTTGGATTTAAATCATTTAAATGAATGTCATATTCAAAATAAAAAAATACTATAATCCATGAAAACAGTTTTAACTGTGGATACTGGCTACTACCGAATTTAAATACTGCCTCAGAATCCCTTCCAGCTTTTGGATATAGAATGATAATTCTTTGTTTTCCTGAAAAGGTTTATGATACAGGGCAGTTTTTGAGCCATTTGTACAAGAAAATGGGCTGTCCTAGGATGGCCCTGGCAATACACGTAAGTTCCCCTGGGTGCCTGAGACAATCGTCCTCTCTCTGAAGTGTGGTCAGCAGTGTGTGCCCCTGTGGGGGAGCCGTGCACGCCTACGATGGAAGAGCTGGTGACCTGGCTCCATCAGGCTCTTGAGAAATTTCTTAGCTCGTTGAACCTCAGGTTTCCTCTTCTATAAAACAGGGATAATAACACCTGCCCTGCATATATTATAAGGTTGTTATAAAGATTGAAGGAGATAATGTATGGGTAAATGCTTTAAGTCTCTCATATATAAATATAATTTTGTGTTAGAAAATATAAATTAAACTTCAGTTTTAGAAAATTATATGACCAGCTTTCTTTTTAAAAAATACGTGAATATGTGAGTTAACTGGATGCCAGCTCATCTTTCTAGTGGAGATAGGAAAAATCAGTTAACATTTTTTTCTCACAAATAACTTGCTTCATTCAATAGATTTGATATACTTTTGGATGATTTAGATACTGTTCCTGTGTCTGCATTACAACGTACCAATCCAAGAAAACAACTCCAGTTTCTTCCTCTAGATGACTCAGAAGGTATCTTTTCCTAAAAAATTATTAGCTATGGTTTTAGTCATTTTGTGAATTTCTCGTATCTTTTCAAGGTCCTAAATAGTGTAATATCCTGCACTTAAATAATTTCTCTGCACAAGGGCCTCTAAGAATAAGCATTTGTGATGCTCATATTATGTGTCAGTGCTGTTATCCTCATTGAAAAGTTGGGAAACTGAGGTACAGACAGTGTTAATGCTTACTTAACCAGAGCCATACCGTTCTTCTGTGCAACTTAGGTATCGGGTGATTTTTTTTTTTTCTTTTTTCTCATTTATCTTTTTAAGTTTGGCGTAAAGTTACAAGATAATGCATGTGAGTCACTTGGGCAGGCCCCGTAAGATGCTAGCTCTGCACTCTTGGTGTGGGTTTGTGTCCACTAAATGTGTGTGTTTAGTGCTTAACTTTTTTTTTTTCTTTAAGTTTACTTAAAGGTCTTTTAAGTTTACAGAAAGTTTATATACCTTCACTTAGGGAAGGTGTGCAGGTTGTCAAACTGAGAGCAAAACTTTTAGAATTCTGTGGAGAAAAAGCACTGAGTAAATATGATTGATTACTGTGTCTCTTTTCATTATGTTTTTTGGTATGTGGCAGTCCTTTCCAGAAAGTGAAGTCAAATAACATATATAGTTGTGTATATGATCGATCACGAAAACTGATAAGAAATAAGAGAAATTTCTTTTCTCTCTGACAGAAAAAAAATACTCAGAAACAGCCACCGACATCCATGCTAATCATAGCTCTTCTCCCGAACTGTTGCCAAATGGAGTGAAGAAAGTGTCTGTGAGATCAGCCTGGGAGAAGAATAAATCAGTTAGCTATGAACAGTGTAAGCCCGCGTCAGTAGCACCACATGGTAATGATTTTGAGTATACAGCAAAAATTAGGACCCTAGCTGAAACGGAACGGTTTTTTGATGAACTTACAAAAGAAAAAGACCAGGTAAAAACAAACAAAAACTTAAAAAAAAAAAAAAACCCAAGTGTTTTTCTGAACTTAATGCTTATGTCTGAGGAATAGTCAGAAGGGAATTATGGAGTCAGACCATGCCAGGAAGTTACTGTGGCTCGCACACCAGAGTTGCGCTAGGAACGCGTTTGAGCTGAGCTGTCCTTGCTGAGCAGGACAGAGGGCACTTAAGTGCAGGCGAGGCGCACTAGAACGTACTAGGCTGAAGCCTGTCCTTTCCATTCTGTTACAGACATCCCTGCCATTCGTCAGAATTCTTCTGTTTTTATTTTAAATTTGTTTTGTGTGTTAACAGATTGAGGCAGCACTAAGTCGAATGCCTTCTACTGGAGGACGAATCACTTTGCAGACAAGATTAAACCAGGTGAACCGTCTCAGCTTGAATGTGTGTTAGAGGCGTGGTGCCGGCTGGTGTTCCATTATACAAGATGATGTGTTAGGCACCCTGAAACAACTGGGCTAAACTTTCAGCCTTTTAGGAAGTGTTTGGTGATTATAGTATATTTTTTTTTTTAAGGTTTTATTTATTTATTTGACAGAGAGAGACACAGCGAGAGAAGGAACACAAGCAGGGGGAGTGGGAGAGGGAGAAGCAGTATAGTATATTTTAGAACTGCGTGCTGGCTTTCAGGAACAAAAAGTGATTTTTCCTTTATGCTTCATGAAAAAGACGTTCATGCCCCTACACAATATGCCTTTGAACAGATTTTATGTTAAATTAATCCTCTCACATTAAATGTCCCTTTTTGTGTTTGTTTCTTCCTCCCCAGTCTCTAATTTATTTCTCAGCCCCTTTCCATTTAGTAAATATGTAAAACAGTTGGCTTTGCAACTGGAATAGCTGTAGAGGTTAAAAAGAGAGAGATGGGGGCGCCTGGGTGGCTCAGCTGGTTAAGTGTCTGCCTTCGGCGCAGGTCATGATCCCGGGGTCCTGGGATGGAGCCCTGCGTCGGGCTCCCTGCTCTACGGGGAGCCTGCTTCCCCCTCTGCTTCTGGTCCTTCCCCAGTTCTTGCTCTCGCTCACACTCTCTCTCAAATAAATAAATAAAATATTTAAAAAAGAGAGAGAGATGTGATTCCATTATTGAGCAGGAGATGGTGCAGGCGAAGCGGCTCATGTGCATTTCTTTTAGTTGCTTTCCAGAGAGAATCAAAATGCATGAAACCATGGGACATTTAAAATCTGCTCTTTTTGTAACATTTTAAGCATAACAACAAGGATAGGTCTCTTATATAACTGCACATTTTGGCTTTTCAGTGCTTTAACTTCAGGAAAAATTCATTTTCAGATTGATCTGTGATACCAGAAGGAAAAAAAAAAGCAAAGAAAACAGCAGAGGTCTTTCCTTGGGCCTATATGCCTAACTTCTCCTTGAGACTTTAAGTCTCTTACTGTTTTTGTTGTTCCAAAAGTCTTTACTCAGTAATTTATAAGACTCAGCACATGAAACTCTTCTTCCTTATTGGGAAGGCAGAAGGAAAACTTGTGGCTACTCTGATTCTAAATTCATCTGAAACATTTGTTATATATATATATTTTTATATAATGATTGTAAGCTTTTAAAATAGCTTAAAAGGGAGTAGAGCCTGTTCATACGTGTCAAAGCTCTTTCTTCCAGTAAGGAGACCACTGACAGCAGAAAGAGACTGAAGATTCTTAAATATGATTCATAAGTGAAAAAAGTAAAATTGGGCAAGAAAAAGATGAAAAATATTCAGCCTCACCAATGAGTAAAAAACTACATATTTGAACAAAAGCATCTTTATTTATTTATTAAAGATTTTATTTATTTATTTGACAGAGACAGCGTGAGAGAGGGAACACAAGCAGGGGGAGTGGGAGAGGGAGAAGCAGGCTTCCCACAGAGCAGGGAGCCCGATGTGGGGCTCGATCCCAGGACCCTGGGATCATGACCTGAGCCAAAGGCAGATGCTTAACGACTGAGCCACCCAGGCGCCCCAAAAGCATCTTTTTTTAAAAAAGATTTTATTCATTTGAGAGAGAGAGAGCATGAGTTTGGGGAGGGGATGAGGAAGAGGGAGAAGCAGACTCCCCTGCTGAGCATGGTCACTTAACTAGGCATACACTTTTTTTTTTTTAAGATTTTATTTATTTGACGGAGAGAGAGACAGAGCGAGAGAGGGAACACAAGCAGGGGGAGTGGGAGAGGGAGAAGCAGGCTCCCCGCAGAGCAGGGAGCCCAATGCGGGGCTCGATCCCAGAATCCTGGGATCATGACCCGAGCCTAAGGCAGACGCTTAATGACTGAGCCACACAGGCGCCCCAAAGCAGCATTTTTATTTTTTTTAAGATTTATTTATTTATTTTAGAGAGAAAGCATGCATGCACTAGCCAGGGGAGGGGCCAGAGGGAGAGAATCTCAAGCAGACACTCTCCACTGAACGCAGAGCCTGACCCAGGGCTTGATCTCATGACCCTCATGAGATCATGACCTGAGCTGAAACCAAGAGCCAGACACTCAACCGAATAAGCCACCCAGGCACCGCAAAAGCATCATTAAAAAAAAAAAACTTACATAGGCAGGTATTTAAATACACACACACGCAAAACAAAACAGTACCCAGGATGTAGAAAAGCATATTCTCATACATGGCAGGTGGAAGTAGAAATTGTCACAAACTTTCTGGAAGATAGTTTGACTTCTCTCTGAAGCTTTAGATTTTTGCATCTCTTCGGACCTAGCATTTTTGCTTGGGGGAATGATTCTTAAGGCAATATTTACAGATGTGTGCAAAGAAATCTTTTTAAAAATATTTATTGCAGCAATATTTATGGTATCCAACATTAGAAGCAACCTAAATTTCTGCTAAAAGAGTCTTGGTTAAATCTAATGGAATATTGCAAATTAATTTAAAATGATATCACAGAAAGATATTTTTCTTTCTGTTCAGCTGAAAAATGTTTTGAAGTAGAGAATTTGATTGTTTTTATTTTTCTTCTTAATGATGTGGATATCTACAGAAAAAACCCAAGAAAGAGGAACTGGTTAATTTTTACTCCTCTGTCTTCTAAATATTTTATCATGAACGTGTGATCCTTTTATTTTTTTATTTAAATTTTTTTTTTTTGAGATTTTATTTGAGAGAGAGTGAGTGAGTGAGAGAGAGCAGGAGCCAGGGTTGGGGCAGAGAGAGGAAGAAGCAGACTCCCTGCTGAGCAGGGAGCCCAGCTTGGGACTCCATCCAGGGACTCCAGGATCATGACCTGAGCTGAAGGCAGCCACTTAACCGACTGAGCCACCCAGGCGCACCTTATGTGATCCTTTTATAATTAAAAGTTGTTAAAGAGGAATTTTTAAGTTTTATTTCAGGATACCATTGGAGTTAAGACTGAATAAAGTACCTAAAATGATAAATTTATATTCCAGGCTCTATTTATTTAACAATAGTACTGCTTATTTAAAAATAGCAGTTGTTACATAGATTCTTTGTGAAATCTCTTGTTTCTTGGAAGAAACTCCAGCGTGTTCCCTCCTTTTTAACTTAGAAATTCTTGTCAGAAGAAAGTTGTTTGACATACGCCTGAGTGGGATAAGGCACCGATCCATTTCTTCCAGTGACATGTGTGAAGTACCTTTGGGCTCCTCTCGTTCTGTCCTCAGTTCAGCAGAATCCGAGAATCACCTCCTTGCTCAGTCTCGCTCTTGCTGAGATTTCCGCATCCTCCTAAGTAGCACTGGTACTGAGGATGTGTTAAGGTGCTGAGGTGCAGCATTTGTTTTGAATGGTTGAAACATTGATTTGCATTGTTTAAAGAAATAATATAAATAAGATGATTTGTGTTAAAAAAAAAAAAAACCAACTCTGTAATTTGAATGTTTCTACCTGCTCCTTTGCTAAAAGAAAGGTCAATTTGGTGGTAATTATAGAACCAGTGAACTCGATGCAGAATTCTAACAAAACTTTTCCTGTTATTCTCCCTTAGGAAGCCTTGGAAGATCGTTTGGAAAGGATTAATCGAGAACTGGGCTCAGTTCGAATGACATTAAAGAAATTTCATGTTTTGCGCACCTCTGCAAATCTCTGAGATTTGTAGCCATTAAATTTTGAGACGTTTTTGTTTGCACTAACGTATAATTATGCACTCAGAAAAGGCAAACTGTTTTGTACTGTTTATAAGCCTTCAAATAGTAGTTTTACAATCATGCTATTCTTTACACTTACTGTTTTATACTTCAAATGGCCACATATTTTCAAGATATTTTTGTTATGCTCAGGAATCTCTTGTATATTTTACTATTTAAAAAGTATTATTTTTAAATAGTGTAAGTCTCCAGTTTATATCAATAGTAAGGAAATGTAAACAGGGGAGGCAGCTTGTTTCTAAACAAATAGTGTTATCCTTTTACAATTAACTTTGCACACTAATTTTATACTTGTTCTACATTGTGAATATGATTCTTTTTTTAAATAAATGCTTAATAGCTTCTATAATAATAGAGTAATACATGCTGAATGCAAAAAAAAAAAAAGAAAAATGCAGCATACCCTGGAATTTAGTTGTGTTGGGATTTTTTTTTTTTAATGGTAATGCAGTTCCTGTTAGGAACATGTCTTAGAGTGAATATTAGAATAGTAATAATGGAAATAATGGAATATTGGAAAGCTTTGGAAACTATGAATAACTCCTTTTGTTTCCCTTGAACTTTATTGTCTGTAAGGAGGGAAAAATGAGAGTTGTGATTCTCTAATGTCATATATGTAGTACTTTTCAGAAAACGGTAAGCAGTTGGGGAGCTGTAGGCTTTGCGCCCAGCATTCTGAGTGGAACTGTGTCCCTGCTGTGGCCATAAGTTGGTGGATGAAGCTTTGATGGAAGACAGACCACCACCCAGTGAGGTGGTTTCCCCCGGGTACGTGGCTTCAGCCGCCAGTCACCATGCAGATGTGTTTAACCCCGCTGCACTCCCCCCCTGCCAAAAAAACCTCCCGCCATAGCAGGTGCTGTAAGAATGCTAGGTTGGGATTAGAGCACCCGCCCCTGCTTGTTCACAGACACAGGATGTGTGTAGATGGAGCCTTGGGACTTTGGCCTTGCTGGAGGGCTCCAGCTCCTGGCCTTGGCAGTGGCACGTGGGCAGGAGGCTGTGCTCTGGTCAGCAGCACTAGCAGGTATATGTTCTGACTGCTGGTCAAGCCTGGGCTGCTCCACTGCCCACTTTTCGGTGGCTGGTCGGAATCCAGTGCCCACATATTCCTGTACACGGTCATAAATAGACGCATTCGGAATGCGTCTTTAATTTAATTATCATTTAATTATTGAACTTTCAATATTTATTCCCACTGATAATGCTCAGGTTTTAACGTTTGGTTTTCTTTTGAACTTTTTCTTCTTATGTGACTCTTAGTAGCTTGTAGTTCTAATGAGCCAAGCCAACCATCACTCCACTAGGGTCTGTGTATGCCTTTGAGCAGGGATCTCAAACTATCTTTGAGCACCTTCACCAAAGCTTACCTGGCTGAGCTCCAGGCCTGCTGCCCCAGTGGTGCTCCCTTCTCAGCTTTGCTGGGGGAGAGGGGTCCTCCATAGGGAGGGGCCATCTGATACCTGACTCTCCTGTTCCTATCCCTGAGTTGAACCTTTGCTCCTGACTCCTGCCACCAGTTGAGCACCTTGGGCTAATCACAGTTATTCAGCAACAGAGTAAGTGCCTTTATTCGTAGTATTTTTTTTCTAGCCTTTTTTTTTTTAAGTCAACTAGTTATAGTAAAGAATAAGTTAATTTTAATCAAGCTCCAGTACAGCTGTGTCAAGACCTAGTAAAGGGATTGACTTTACTGATGGTATTCCTTTTGTGTTCCTATACGTGACATTAAAATCTAACTTGAAAATTACTAGGATATTCATTGTTCTCTCCATCTATCACGAAGTCCTTCTCAAGAATAGGAAATTGCCATTTCAGAAGAGATAGTTTTATCTTGTGAAGGAGTTATCTTCCTAGTCGTCTCTATTGGCTCATTCCAAGAAAGATTGGAAACCCCATCAAAACCTCTCTGTGCCTCTCAGAAGACATGTGCTTTGATTCTTGAAACGTATCATAGATTGGTAGTAGTAGTCACTTAAACATTAAAAAAACCTTTTTCTTCATAGCTTTGAAGAGGAGAACCAAGGAAAATCCTTTGAGCCATCTTTCCCTTTTTTGTGCTTAATTTACAAACATAGAATGCTCAGCTTAAAAACAACTCAACCCCAAAGGTGGCGATGTCAGAAAGTAGCCCGTGTCCCTGGGAGGTGAACTACTTGGTGTCCTGCTGGGGCTGAGCTGCCGGGGAGTAACTACCAGAGTGCACCTTCCACTTTAGGATTATTTCAATGCAAATAGAGTTTGCTCTCTCTTTTCCCTTGGTTCTGCCCACTTACTCTCCTTTCAGGAGCCCCGAGGCACAGTACGCGGTCCCGCCGACGCTGACCGATGCTGTAGGGGTGGCTAAGGGCAGAGCTGCTGTGGGGTGGGGGGAGGGAGAGCCATGCGGACCTGGGTCACCACCAGGCTCAGGCCTGCCCGCCTCAGCAGCAAGAGATAAGATGAAGCGATAAGAAGCTTCCTTCCATTTTAAAGGAGATTATGTAAAGTACCTGGTGCTTAGTAACTTTTCAACAAAAGTACACATTTCAGATTCATTGAGTTAATTAGGTGTTTGAAGTAGTGATTTAGGACTTTTTAAATAGAAAAGTAGGTTGTGCCCCCAGCAGTTGACTTAAGAATGACCTTGGGTTGGTTGACATTTCTGTTAGGTGGTCTAAGATGATCTCTCCACTTTTTTGCAAGAAAAATGAGATTTCTTAGAGTTCAAATGATCCTCTTCCTGGTGTGAGGTGTTTGTTTTTTAAGTGACTTAAAACTGGTAACCTGTTGGGTAGAAGTTCAGAAGCATCTTAAATAGGTGATGGGGGAGGGTTATTTGATGTAAATACAGGCTATTTTCCTTTAAAAAAAAAAAAAGTGGCCACGTAACCAAAATAATGGCTCCTTTGAATGTTCCATACCTAGACCTCCACCGTGGGGGCCTGTAAGGTAGGACCACAGGAAGGCCGGCAGTGAGCATCAGAAGAGCCGTATATAAAGATGTGGATTGTTTTTAGAGTTTGACGAACAACCGAACCGTGTTCCCCTTCTTAACTCTGAAAAGCCAGGGGCTTTGCTGAATGCTATTTAAATTTGAATTCTGCACTTACATATGTAGTAAAATTACACATTTTTGTCATTCTAATTTTTATCTCAAAAGCAATTTTCATTACATTTTAATGTGCCACTTGTGCTGTGAGGCTTTAAGAAGCTTTAAAAAATAAGTGCATACCTAGCACCCTTTAAGAATCCTACGGGTAAATCATGTTTACCCGTCATGAGAGTGTGTGTGGTCATGAGATGTACAGGTCTGATTAAACCAATTATATTGCACACATTCTGCAGGAGATAATTTTTTGCCAAGAATTCTGCGGCAGTTTAATAGATTAAACTACACCAGTATTAGGACCTGTGTTACAAAGCTTTCTCCTTCCAATTTATGTTTTATTTCAATAGATGCCTCTCAGATAGGAGGAATCAAGCCATAAATTTGCATTTGCTGGACATGATATACCATGTCATCGCTGTGACTACAGACTTCAAAGTTAATTGTCTTATTCACCATTGCACTGTAACAGTGACCAAATACAATGTGAAACACTTGCTTCCTGCAGTGCTGCTGATGGTTAGGCAAAGACAAGTGCTTGCTGCAGTTGTTTTTAAATCTAGGCAAGTATAGGAGTCATGGAATTGTACGCTCTGTCAGAGCAGGGACCATCATGTCTTCATTCTTGCATACAGGCACTCTAATAAATATTTGTGGATATGAACTGCATTGTGATATTAGTGTATTTATTCCTACCGGGTTACCCTGAGATCTGCTTTTTGATGGGGTTAAGGCCTGCAAGTTTTGAGTGCATTCATGGCAAGGTTACAATGGTATCATCCAGGGGCTCAATTCGGGGTGGTGGACAGGTAAAGAGCCTGACTCTGGAGATCTCCGTATGCTCCGAAAACCTTTCTTAGTGGGACTTAAGGCACCTCTTGGTGGAGGGAAGAAGGTGAGGGTTTTGTGTTTGTTGGGACACCTTCCCTGGTCTCAGAGCAGTCGTCCTAAGATCATAAGACAGGTAATTTGAGAGTTGCATAATGACGGCTTTCCTGGCCTCCTCTCCAATTCTGACAGTCACCACAGGGATGAACAGCCTCTGGTGGTTTTGCTGTCTCTGACTATCAGAACAGTCTGGGACTGCTTTAATTTTAGCACTTGCTCTTCCAGGAAGAGCGCGCCTTTCACCCACAGAAAGTGATACTTGCTGATAGGTAAGCTAGGTTTTAGCTGTGCCCCATTTAATTCCATTACTTCAGGTCTTGGCACATAAGGCCATTCCTGCTCAATCTAAATACACACTTGACGATTTTAAATTTCACCTAGTGCCTTCTTGGTCGTCTGGTTCACGTCTGGAGAGTCCAATCGGGAGGAAACATCAAGATGAAGCTATTTCTGATCTTTTTGCAGTGCCTTTTGCAGTGTTGGGGACTAGAGCTTCATGCGTCCCTTCCGGCTGTTACTACTGCTCCCGCTACTTTTGATTTCCAAGGGCCATTTTCATCTTTAGCCCAGAGCGAATGGATTCGGTGCCGGGGAAAGAACTTACTGTCAGCTGCAAATCTGGTCTCAAGTAGCCAGCATCTAGGTTTGGGCCTCAGGAAGTCGTATGCAGTTTGTTCCCCTAGATTTGTTATCTACCTTCGTTTTTAAGAAAGCTACTTAAGAGTGACAGTTGCCGCAAGCCTACTCGCCCCCTTCCGCGAGTGCACTTGGCTCCTCCAGTACAGTTACAAGGCTGGCGGTGTTTGCGGAGTCAACCCCACCCCACCCCCCCACACCCCGGCGGGGAAGCGAGCCCAGGCCGCGGTGGGGAGACAGCGAGTTGGCCCGAAGTTTGCCGGGTTTCTTCCGGCGGAGCCCAGCCCTCGGGGCGGGCGGGGGCGGCCCCTCGCCGGGACTCGCCGCCGCTCCCCGCGCGGCCTGACGGAGGCGCAGGCCCGCCGCCGAGTGGGGGAATGCGAGGCGGGCCCGGCGCGCACGGGCAGCAGCGGCCGCTGGGGTGCGCGGGGCACGGCGGCGCCGCGGCGTAGAGCTGTCCAGCCCGTCCGCGGGCGCGCCCGGCCCCGCGCCCCGCCGGCCGCCGCCTCCTCGTCCGCCTCGACCGCCGCGGCCCCGCGCCCAGCGCCCAGACCCGCGGGG